TGGTTGATACGGCGCCGAACAGCACAGCTCGTGAGCATCCACGTTTTTCACAGTACAAATATACAGGACGAGCGGAAGAAAACCAGGAGAACAGGCGTCGGGAATATCTTCAAAGACAAAAAGAGTATCTTTTGTTGTATAACATTCTTGAATTCGAAAATTTCGTTGTTTTCGAAGGCCGCATTTATTGTTAAGCACTGAGAAATATAGCTACTACTAAAGTCACTGTGAGTCCCTGAAATCTGGATTTTTTGTATTAGAGGGTTACCATGCAATCTGTAAGTGATTACAGTTATAATCTGACCAACTGTTGACTGTAATAACTTACAGATTGCATGATAACTTCCCATTACTTGAAATTCAAATTTCAGCGACTCATAATGGGATCTTTAAGATTTTATCACATTTTTGAATCGTAAAATTAATTTTTCCAGGATGCGTTTTGATTACGCGAATCATGCACGAAAATTGGCAATGAATGAGTTTGATGAGGAAGATGACAAGATGGATATGGAAGCGGAAAATGAGGAAGTTGATGAGGCCGAAATGGAGGAAGCGGGCAGTGAGGGGAAGAAAAAGAAGTGGAGAAAGTATAGTAAGAAAGCCAAAAAAGAACGAATACGGCGAAATCGTTATGCCAATGAACTGATGCTTAGCGAATGGCTTGTGGATATTCCGACAACTTTATCGAAAGATTGGATCTGCTTGCCATGTCCCACCGGAAAACGATGTCTCGTGGTTGCATCCAATGTACTTTTTTTGTTTCTAAAAAATTTATTTCCGTACCTGTGAGGTCGCAAGCATGGCACAGTAGGGAATAACAATGTTATTCTGCAAAGGGCCGAAAGTTCTGCTCCCAATAGTGTCGGCAGTGATTTTTATGTTGGAAAATAGAGAGTATATAATGCCGTGAGAGCAGTCCAGTGACATCACTAACATGGGATACCCATACTGATTGCCCAGACGGCTTTGGTATGTATGTTCAAATTTTTCTTATTTTCATGGTTTTATCTGGGTACTGTTTTGATCATTGTAATTTTAGATCAAATTAAACAGCAGCAAAAGCGAAACTCGCATCAACTTTAAAATTATTTACAATTCGTAATAATTTAAAAAAAAAAACAGTTTTTTAATATAGAACAGAAGTTGGAAATAATTGCTGAATAGAAATTTGGCTTGAAACAGTTGTTGAAAAGGAAGTTTTGCAGGGCGTGACAACTGCATATGCGAAAACGGGTTTTATGATAACACAGTTTCGCTCGTATCTCCCGGTGGCAGTAGAAATTCAATTGGAGGAGGTAAGCTGGTTTATTCCTTAAAATTTTTAACTTTGATGAAAGTACCAAGCATATCCAGCATACTAACGTACCTTAGTATTTTTGATAGCAAACTACCCATAACCAAAACGAAAGCGAGGTCCAGTATAGGTTGCGCTTAATTTGAGGTAGAATCTCAGTAAGAATCAAAAAACTCCAAATAGTCGTTTAGGCGTTTCTGCTATTCCAGTGAACTTTTGGTGGTCGTCTGTTTTAACCTAAGAACACAGAAATTTGTTGTTCTCCCAAAGCTAACAAATGTGATTTTTGCAGAAGCCTACACACTTCTGGATTGCATCCTATCACAACCATTCGTGTTTTATTGCTTGGATGTGATAGCATGGGGTGGTATGTCAACGGCCGAGGCGGATTTCGAATGTCGAATATTCATGCTAAATTCACGCATCTCAGAAAATAAAAATTTTGCAGAAGCTACATCACGTTTTCCTGTAAGGCTTAAATGTTTTTTTTTTTTTTTTTTTGGACTGGCAAAGCTTCACGTTGTTGCTTTTGAGGAGCACCTCAGTAACATCACTAATATGGAATACCTGTACTGATCGCCTCAGTGGTCTTGGTTTTTTTGATATTGAATGGCTTTTTATCAAAATATTTTCCCTTTCAGGCCGTGCAGCTGGCAATTGCCCTATTTTGCCTGGGTTTTAAGTCATTTTCGGAACATTTTAGTACCATCTGTATCATCTCTAGCACAGAAAGAATATCCACATATTCAGTTATAAGTTTTCTCGCCACAGGAAGCATATTTGCTTATGAATTAAATCAATTAGCTAGGCTTATTTGCTAAGCAAATATGTGAGTTTGAGTTAAGAATGCCCTCGTATCTGGCACCTCCAGTGAACTCATTTAATTTTGAGCAATTTTTTTTAGGGAAAATGTCGCAAAAAATAGTTATTTTTTCGTAAATTTTATTCTTTTTTTGAACAGTTATTTGAAGTATACTGAATCTTGTTTATCTGTCCTTCATGAGTTGATAAAAATTGATGTTGGAAGCGTCTAGGACCCTGTCATCTATGGATTTTCGTAGAAAATACCGCACAGAAAATCACTTCAGTATCGATTCGTATGTCTACCATATTGCCGCTGTGAAAACAGCCTAATGGAGGAAATGATGCACCGAGAATTCGAATTTGAACTGGACGGTGTTCTCTTTTATCATGCGAATGTACGATATGAAAAGGGTCAAAGTCCTCTTGGTATGTGAATCTTCATTTTTCTTATTTTCCGAAATTTCACATTGGTACCACTCGTGCGTGGGTGTTGACATAGTGCCAACCTTGGAAAGGAACAGATTTTTCCAGTTTTAGTTTTGCAGTAGTTGTTGAAATTTTTATTTTATTCGATATCTTTAGTACTGTCCTGCTTCTTAAAGTATCGTATCTTGGGTTTTCGTTTAAGCCTTCTTGTTTGATACGTAATTTTTACAACATTCGCTGAATATTTCTGCGATGCATATACCAAGAGTACCAAGATCATCCCCAAAGAATCGATTTTGAACTCCGTGATGATGCTGAGTTGCTTTCTTACATCAGCTGCAGCTCTGTTAAGCTTTTTTACCTTGGGCCACATTTCTAATATTTATTACTTGTAAGGAGGCGAGAATGTAATCGTGACAGTTAAGGCAATACAGGTCTTGAAGTACCAACATCTACTCCGACCTGCAAAATATCCTTGGTTTAAGACCTGTCGGAAAAGAATGCAACTAGATTACCATTCATTTTTATTGGGGAGGATGGATTTGTAAGGGCAAAGAAAGCAAAAAAGATACGCATACGGAAATAGTAACATAAATAGGGATGGGAAGAAATACATATGTACAGTGGGAACACCTCAGATATGGACAACAACGATAAGTAAACTACAGGAAGTGCCTTTTCATGAATAACTGCTTGTGAAATCAAATA